AAAACTATATTTAAAGTGGTACAAGAATTCATTATAAAATCAAAACGGTTTAACATATTGTCATAAATCTCTGATACTTGTCTAGGATAACTAGAATGATAGCATATCTCTGATGTACCTACCACCGTCAGCTTTGAACTCTATAATAACATTCTGACTCTATACTCACGTTAGCCTCATACTCACCATTCTGACTCCATACTATTGTTAGTTTTAAACTTACCACTGTTATTCTGACTCCATACATACTACTGTTAGCTTCATACTTACCACTGTTACTCTGACTCCATATTACTGTCAGCTACATACTTACAATTGTTATACGGACTCCATGCTACTGTTAGCTTCAACTTACCACTGTTACTCTGACTCCATACAACTGTCAGCTACATACTTACAATTGTTATACGGACTCCATGCTGCTGTTAGCTTCAACTTACCACACTGTTATTTCTGAACTCCATACTACTGTTAGTTTCAAACCCACGATTATCCCGACTCCATACTACTGTTAGCTTCATACTTACCATTGTTACTCTGACTCCATATTACTGTTAGCTTCATACTTACAACTATTATTCTGACTCCATACTACTGTTAGCTTCATACTTACTACTCTACACCACTTTTAGTTTTGTAACTCCACACGATGGATCTCATTCATTCACTCATTTAACTTTTTTTTCTCATTTTAAGAGACTCATGTCTATCATACGACCCACGGTACCACACACTTATCTTTTTCTAGATCTCTCTGTCCACACCCCTTTCCTACCACTCTCTTTATAATGTTACATGTTATTTAGTATTAAAAACCAGGACTTAAATATATTAACTTATTGTTCTATTCTGTTTATTTGTAATTTTTAATTTGTTTCATGAAATATATCTGTAAACATTGACCTTTGTCCAGCGATTCAGATTCAAATTAGCATTATGCTTCTTTCTGTATCGCATATATGTACATTGTAAAATGTATCTGTAAATAAAGAAATATCGATTTAAAAAAAATAGGCGAGGAAAAGGCGACAAAAAGGGTGAGGAAAAGGCGAAGAAAAAGGCGACAAAGAGAGGGTAAAAAAAGGCGAGGAAAAAGGGCGAGAAAGCGAGAGTAAAAAAGGCGAGAAGTCGAGAAAGCGAGGAAAAAGGCGAGAAAGCGAGGAAAATTTTTGAAAACTTTTGAAAAACCGGACCGGGGCACATGGATAAAAAAAACTGTTTTTGGGAGTCTGTAGGGCTTATATATGGACCAATAAAACTCGGTTTTCTTTTATATGTGTTCTTTGTAACAAGATATATGTGGTTAGGGTGATTCTGAATGTGTTCTGCTATAGCTGATTTTTCAATTTCTAACTTGTTACAGACTGATTTGTGTTCTTTTAGTCGGACAGATATAGGTCTGGATGTCTCGCCAATATATGTCTGCACTCCAGTTTGTATATACCAGCTTTGGGGATCATCCTAACCACAACATT